TAATCCCATTCATTTTTGATCTTTGTCAGTCATTGGTTTCAGTTAATTTGGTGAAAATGAACCTGCACAGACCAGATAACCCGTGACAGTCATTTACTGCATCATCGCTGCAAGCTAACACGGATCAGAGTGTGACTGATTGTCCGGAGAGGTCTGCACCATATCAGCACAGAGCAGTAGCGCTGCTGTGGCAAAGATCAAACCAACGTGATGCTCGCTTTGATGGATCACCGGAGAAACCTTGTGAGAAGCTGTCTGATGGCAGCAAACTCACATGAGAACTAAAGGACCCTGAAAAGGAAAGGGAGGAGGAGAGGGAAGGAAGAAAGCAAGCATGAAGGAAAAGGGAGAGACAATGTGAAAACAATCACAGAGCGGCTGGACGTGTCCTGCATCAGTCAACAGTGGTCAACAGAAAAGTCCATGTTTGGTGGACTAGCGGAGCCACATCTGGACTCCTCTCAGCCTGACACAGCAGGCCTCTGTACTCCCGCTCACCCCATAACTCACCAGGGCAGTTATCAGTTGGAAATATGAAGACAGGGTCTGCTCGTCTATCAATCCCTCCTTCCTTCAGTCTCTTCCTTTACATGAATCCTTGCTTCGCTGTGTCTTCGTCTCTCAGGAGAAGGGAAAGGTCAAGACAGGGCCAAATCCAAGAGCCGGACAGAAGTAGACGGACCCGACTACGCTTCGTTGGGACACTGGATGGACAGTCTTTGGCGTTTTTGTGTTGAATATGGAAGCCGCTAACCACCGCTTACAGATGAGGGAAAAGCAAAAAGCACCAATTCATAAGACAAACAACCACAAATGGGAGTTTTCCTCGACTGAAAACCGCTTTCAGCCATGCTAATGCTGCGGCTGTTTGGATGGGAATGTCGGTCTGTCGCAGCATTTCAACACTGATTGGACGGATTTCCATTCACTTTGGATTCGTGTTGCCTGTAGGATGAATCAGTGATCACAACAAGCTAACGCTACATCCTCGTTTCGTTCATTCAGTTTCATTTAAACTTGTCACAGACGTCGGAGTAAGAACGGATGACAAAGTGGGTGAATTTAAACTCCAAATCTGTTCATCCTTTAACACAGCAGCTGATCCGTACATCACGTCTAGATGTTACACGAACTGGAAGAATTCACTCTTGGCAGATTGTTTGATTTTATTTTATCAGATAAAAACTTTCAGACTCTGACTGTTGGAAAACCAGTCATCCATCCAGCTGGGCAATCTTGCATGGATGACTGGCTTGTGTTTGTGTGTGTGTGTGTGTGTGTGTGTGTGTGTGTGTGTGTGTTTTCGGGGGTGGTCTGGTTAGGACAACATCATTCGTTCCAACACAAACTTCAGCGGTAACCACTGATGCACATGAAACCCTCACAAATGTCCTCTGACTGCTGCGGCTCTCTGTCTTCACCGTCCACTACCGTCTTTATTTTTAACCCGGATCTTACAGCAGCACAGGTCTGCAAGCAGGCCCAGTTATTGGGAACTGCTCAACAACACTGACTGATGTAAGATTTCCAGTGTTTTGTCTCAGTGTAAGAAAGTCGAGGGCTGACGTCATCCATCCATCCATCCCTCCTCGCCCAGTCACCCTGCTGACAGCTCGTTCTATCTGAGCTCAGGAAGCTTCTAACAGAACATTTGAGTCCCTCTGATAGTCCAAATGTCCGGAACACCACAGCTTTTATCATCAGGTTAAATGACATCAGCTTCCCCTAAAAACGCTGCTGCTGTCACCTCCAAACCATAATCTTCTCAATCAGCCTCTGGATAAAATCTAAAGGTCAGAAATACAGCGTCTTCATTGCATTCCTGCTCCCAGCAGATGAACCCTTTAGACGTCAATGACTCCACGACTGTTCCTCTCGCACCAACCTCACGGCAAACCAATGATCTGAGCAGCAAATGACCAGAAACGGGTGATGTACCGCTGTGGCCCAAAGTCAGACAACACAACAAAATCATCCAGTTTTAGGAAAACCAACGTTCCATTAAGTTGGTGGTCTGGACGGTTACTTAATATCCACGGACACAATTTAAAATGTTCTTAAAAGAATTTCGTTATGGTTTAAAGTTATTCCCGTGTATATCTAAGGTCACATGTTCGGTACCATTCCTGAGGTTTCTGTAGATAATGGCCAAAGAGCTCAAGTCCAAAGCCCATTTGTACTTATTTCATTACTCTATGTACTGCACGGCCGTCTTACAAGTGTGGATGGAGTAACATTTCAGTATTATTTTCAAGACCCAAACAAGCATGAATGAATGTGGTTAGCTTGAAAAAAGCAGCACAAAATAATGATCCATAATCACAAGAAGTTTTTAAGCGTAGAACCATAAAAACGGCAAAGAAAGGGTTCGTAGAAACCTGTAACCTAATCCCAGACACGACTGTTTAATGTGGCACATTTAACTGTAGAGATATTTTTTATTAGCACAAGTGAAAATATCTGTTTCTCTACACTGAGGGTGAGATAGGCAGGCAGCGATACAGGGCTGTAAGGGTCTCAGACTTAACTCCCGACCGTCTAGTGTTGCATGATACAAGCCAACCATCGCAAAGAACTGGAGCTCTGTCTGAGATGTTCTCACTGTGGCTGAATAAAGCTGGAAGCAAAAATCAGTGTTCTTATGTCTGAATGATATGAATGCACCAATGTTTATTCCACCGTGAAGCTTCTTCTGATAAACTACTTGCAAATATCAGTGAGAAATATAGATGTAGATTATTTATTCTGATAATTGTCGGCCTGTGCTCAGTATCACATCATATGTAGCTTATAATTAGTGGGATTTTGTTCTTTCCTGCATTTAATAAATGTTTGTAAGAGGTTTACTTTCTCTTTGAGCATCAGATCTCTACAAATATCTGGATACTGTACCGTATACTGTATGCTGTAATCTAATTGATGGATTCTATTTTAAAGATAAAAACATACATGGATTGTTTTACACACACTCAACACCATCCATCCATTATCTACACAATGCTTCGTCCTCACTAGGGTGGTGGGGGGCTGGAGCCTATCCCAGCTGACTCAGGGTGAAGGCAGGTTCACCTGGACAGGTAACCAGTCTATCACAGGGCTACACTTAGAGACAGACAACCAAGCACACTCACATTCACACCTACGGACAATTTACAATCACCAATTAACCTCAGCATGTTTCTGGACTGTGGGAGGAAGCCGGAGAACCCGGAGAGAACCCACGCTGCACGGGGAGAACATGGAGACTTCACGCAGAAAGATCCCGGGTGTCCTCACCGGGACGCCAACCGGCGACCTTCTAGCTGCGAGGCGACGATGCTAACCACTGTGCAATCTTGCAGCCTCAGTTATAATATGTAGAGCTGAATTAATCTAAAATAACAACTCGTCATCAGGCAGCGTAGGGAAGTTTTACGGTGTTTGAGCAAAGTCACACGTGATCTGGTGTCTGTGAAGAGTTACAACTAAACCACAGATATTATTTTCATGGGAGAAAGTTCTAAATATGCAGTTTTAATTTTAAAAAAAGTTATAAGGGGTGTGATCTATGTCTGCAGAGGGCTTCAGAGTGTGTGCAGTGGGGCTAACGGGTGCTGCCAGATGCAGGGATCGACTCCCTGCGGGTTCAGCACAACACGGTGACACCAGACTTCTGGTGACGATAGCAAGTCGCAGTGCTAACTTTGCTCTTGTCACTGTTTCCTGTTGCTAAGCCACCTCCACAACTGCCTCACTCATGGTAGATACATTGTGCAGCTATCCACCCTCAATCCCACCCTTCACCCCCAGCATTGTCCTATAAGCCCCAGCTGCAGTCCAGCCAGGGCGTTGACTATTGTCTCTGCAGAAACCTGAATGTATTTTGCCTGCAGCTATCACTGGCTGCAGGAGGAGGAGGAGGGAAAGACAGAGGAAAAAAAATATCCAAAACACATCTAAAAATGGAAGACTGTGGGAGGTAAAGGATAAAAACAACACAGGTGTAGTAAACGAGTCATTGATTAAAAGAAACAGATGAACCGGTGGCGGCGTCTCAGGTAAAGTGGTGTGTGTTTGGCATAACTACACACCATCACAGCACCGATAAACACACCTCATGCACACAGAGGGGCTGTTTGGGTCGCCCCGGCTAAAAAAAAGAAAAAAGAAAAGGGAAAAACAACAACAGAAACCTCATCCTACCCAACAGCCACGACAGCTTCATTTAACATGCCAGTTACCAGGGTCAACAGGCAGGAATGTCCTGCAGCCGGCTGAGCAGTGCCACCAACAACAGCCCTTTATCCCCTGCCAGGCTGGAAGGTCAGGGGAGAGAACAGCAACAGCAGCGCACAGCAAAAAAGAAGCCCTGAGCGTCATGATGGCAGCAGCTTAACCACAGCACTTCATCCTTATTTGTAGGCCCAGGCCGGAAACCACAGCAGCCACTGATGAGCGTATGAAACCTCAGCCAGTGTCTGCAGAGTTCTGGACTCGCATCAAATCAACCTCGAGGCCAATCAGAGTGAGAACCGACCAGCCTCAGCTCACCGTCCACACCGATGAGCAGTTCGCTCCCACCGGGAACATAAAAATAAGAATTATATATCATTATGAGTCCAAGCCAAACTATTAGAGAGCTCCGAATACTTAGTATTCGTGACTCATAGTTACAGCTAACAGAGTCATAAATGTGACACAAAAAATAATCCAACATTTAAAGCACAACCCCATCAGTCCCTTAACAAAACACAGAACTGTGCTGCAGCAGTTTGTGGGGAACACGACAAAAGAGACTGAATGAACTGATGTCCACGTCATCAACTGTTAGTGAAAAACAAACCACAATCAAGCCACTATTTCAGCATTGTGATGGCCTCTCATCTTAAATCTTTGGTCCAAGGTTTGAATATCTGGAAGCAACAGAAGGATCAAAAACTGTGAGGCAACCAAAAACTTCTCAGACAAAAGCTGAACACCAATCAAACAGCAACAAACAGTGGCAGAACCTCTGGACTCACCGGCCACGCGAAGCTGAACGGTAACAGGATGCTGGCTTTGTCGTTCTTGCCGTTGCGTAAAGAAAAGGTATTTCCACCGAGCACAGGCGTGGAGGCGGTGCCAAAGCTGCAGGGCCCGGCCGACGACACCTTCAGCTGGTATTCCTTCAGACAGATTCGGAAGTAGGTGTCACACTCGTCCGCCGTGCAGCGTCCGTCCACCACGTCCCGGGATCCGTCGCAGCAGGCGCCCGTCAGCAGCTGCCCGTTGACGTTCTGCATCGACAAAATCTGAAGCTCAAAGTGTCCTGAAGCCGAAGAAACCTGCAGGGAGGGAAGACAGGTGAGTTAAGAGACTACAGCGGAAGTCATGAAGAAGAAGGGCTGTAGAGGTCTTCAGGAGTCCACTTGGTTCATAGGAGACAAGACCCAATAAAGGACCAAAGGTACGTCAGGTCCAGACTGTTCAAAGTACCGTCTCTTGTCCATAATCCAGAATATTCTCTTTAACTCGAACACCCTGAATCACTGACATCTGCAATAAACATCCCGTCCAGCTTGATACACTTTGGCTGTTTACAGTTTATCCTGAACCGTCAAGGAGGCGTCTGACTGTCTGTAAGACGTTCTGCAGCAGGACAACAAGTCCAAGAACCTTCATCAACAACTGGTCTGACCCAAAGAGTCCCGATCTCCACATCATAGGGTCGGTCTGGACGACATGAAGAGACAGAAGACGCCGAAACTGACTGAATCCACGTAAAAACTGTGGCACCACTCTGCCAAGCGCCTTTGATAAGAAGAAGTAAAATAAAACTCGGCTTTTAAACACATTTTTCCAAAGTTCAGCCTGAAGCTTCAGGGAGCTTTGGAAAGATCAGAATTTCCAGTTAAAGTTTGGACATTTTGATCATAAATCTGCACAAAATTCAATCATGAGTCTGAAATTTGGATCAATTATCATCAACAGGGAATGATTTATCAATAAATATGATCATCTGTAAACGGTTCTGGTCACTTCCAAGCAGCAGCAGTAAAGATTTGCTGGCTGAGGATCAGATATAATCTACAAGAGGAGAGCTGAACGTGAGAAACTCGTCTGAAAATGGGTGCAGTTGTTGTATTAGTGTGGTCACAGAGTTCAGCTGCTGCAGAGCCACAGCAGGAACCAGCCTCAGTCCACTTTTAGTCCAGAACTTCTGTGCTCCCTGCAGGATCTCATTCACTCGCAGAAAACGGATTACGACGAAGCAAAAACAAGAATGATTCTGATTACCAGACATAAGCACTGTCGAGTCCAGCCACTGATTGCAAACAACAGTTCTGGGCCGAGCAGCACATGAGCTCAATACAAAGTCCTTGTGATCCAAAGCTGAGCAAAATCAAATGGAATTCATGTCCCCAAGGAGCCAGAGCCCCATTAAAACCACTTTCTTATGCACAAGGCTGTAAATTTAAACTAAACGATGCTTTAAACTTTCCAATGAAACCCTCAGTTTAGAAGCACAAGCATTTCATGGCTCAGTCAGACCAGGCAGGATCAGATGCTCATGACCTCCACCTCCTACAGACACACGACCCAGCCAGGTCCAGCCGTGATGGTGACACACATGAAACTTATTCAGGACTTCATTCTGTGGGTTTGGTTCCTGGCTCATGACACCATGACAGCAACACGACTGGCTGAAGCAGGGAGAGTGTTTGACACCGACCCAACAACTTTTCTGAGAGTTTCTGAGGACGTCTCTGAGCGACATCATTTCACCCAAACCATGCCAGACACGTTGGTCCACAGTTCGCCTCTGTGCTGTCCGAACCGAGTCCAGCCCTGGCAGACCTCAGCGGGAGTGTGGTGTACCTGAATGCGGGCAGAGAGCAACAGCAGCTGCAGGCTGAGGGCAGCGCTGAGGGGGACGGAGCTCCGGGTCAGGCTCATGCCGGCGGCGGGCTGCTGCTGGCGGCTCTCGGTGCTCAGTGATGCTCGGTGCGGCGCTGCGCTCCGGGTTGCGCTCCCTCCGGCTGGGACATGCACGGGCGGAGACCAAACTGCGGCTTTTCTTCACAAGGACAAACCTCCACAAAGTCCCGACAATGCAAAGCGTCCTGCCTCGTTCCTGCACGGAAGCCTTTTGTCTGCTATTGTCCTGCTCCTCTCGGACTGGTCCTCTCCGACTGCAGCTGGAGCGCCGCTGCAGGAGGCTGGCTAATATGCAGCGGCAGGGGCGGGGCCTGCGCGCTGACCACGCCCCCTCATTAATATTAACGAGCAGCGGTTTGTTTACAGTTTTTTATAGTGAGTTCACATGGAGGTGGAGAAGTGCCTTCACACATGGAGGCCAAAACCGCCAAAACTGACATGAGAGGACTTTAACATCTCAGTGATGATGACACAAACAGAAGAAGAAGGCATGGTCCTGTCACAGTGTACTGTCCAAACAAACAGTCCAGTGATTTGAATCTTTCTGAGATTTTCTTCCTCAGTAATGTGACCTTGCTGTTGCTGCAAGTACGGTAGCTCAGGAGCAAAAAAATCAGTTATTCCCTAAAAGACGGACACAGAAACCGCGACCCATTGGCGTTTGGAAACTGGTGGTTTCTATCTTGGCCTTTTGAAACCAGACATGACAAGCACAAGACAGATCGACGTCATCCTCACTAGATAAGATGTGCTGAGGTTAATTGGTGATTCTTGGTTGTCTGTCTCTAAGTGTAGCCCTGTGATAGACTGGTTACCTGTCCAGGTGAACCTGCCTTCAGTCAGCTGGGATAGACTCCAGCCCCCCATGACCCTGGTGAGGATTAAGTGGTGTGTAGATGATGGATGTATGGATGCTAATTTTCTTTTTAGTTTCTTATTTTTGCAGAAAAAATGTGTCAAAGTCTGATTTCAGACTATTGGTTTTACTGCTGTGGGTATCCCTGAAAAAAGATATTCCAGTATACATCTTTCAAAATAAATGCCTTCAGTGAAATCCACAGATAGATGCTGTCAAAATAAACACCTGATGACATCAGTAGAGGTCATTAAAAGCCATCTTCTTCTTCTTGTCATCTTCTTTATTCTTACTACTTTGTTCACTTCATGTTTTTCATAACATTGAACATTGCATTTTTTCCTCTTGTGTATTCATCAGTCTTCCTGCATTCCATCACTTACTTGACGGTGCAACAGCAAAGAAAGACTGATGTTAAAAGCTTTTTTCAAAAAACACATTTAAATGACACAAATAATATCAGTTGGGAACATCATATTTTGTATATTTTTTCTATAAAATATAATGAGATCATTTTTGAGAGGAAATTAACAGAATAAATGTAAGTAGGAAGATTACAACAAATATAAAATCCTGAAAAAATGTTTTTTCAATTTACAGCACCAACAACAATATCATTTATGGCTATATGATGAATGTAAAGTCGTGTAGATTCACAGAGAAACATGTGAATGTGCAAAATGTGGCGAGTGGAGGAATGAAAGGAGGCGGCGGTGGGGCTGGTGGGAGGAGGCGGCCTTGGTGGGAGGAAGGGGGAGGTGGCTGAGGTGGTTGATGTTTCTTCATGAAATAGAGTCTGAGCGACAGAACAAAGGTGGCCTCCACTTTATTCTCAAATTAGAGCAGCTGGGCTCTTTTCCCTGGAGGAGCCCCATGAATAGATTATTGGACCGCTGTCACTGAAAGAGAGACAAAACACTCCCAAACACGAACCCCGCCCCCTCCTCGCCCCTCAGCCCCCTCGCCCTATCCATCATGCATCCCCCACTCCCCACCGCCGCTGTGATATTCAGGCAGATTCCTGACTCTCTGAAATCACAAGGACCCGATCTGCATCGGATTTTAGGTCTGCCTGGTAGCACGAGTTTAGAACCAGGTCCAACCAACCCTGGTCCCGTTTGATGCTTTGTTCTGTGACATCAGCAGGTTTATTAGGTCAGAGGTTGTTCATAGATGCAGTTGGATGCACAATAATATTTTCTTTGTACAAGATCCATACGTTTGCCGCACATTGTGCACATTTTCAGGAAGTGACCATCTGCTCGCACTCTAAATTCCAACATTTCAAAAGTGCCCGGGCGAGTAAAGACTGTCAGCACTTCCCTGTATACCTGAGAACACACAGCACACGTTGTGGCTCGTCAGATTTATGCAATAGATCTGTTCATAAGTCACATATCTAGACCTTGAATGATCTTAGTTTTTATTATGTGACAAACTTTACCTTTTAATATTTTCATATCCAAGTGTCTCAGTTGTGTGCCCACATCTTTTGTTGTCTTACTCGACTGTTGTGTAAATGAAGCCGGCATATCTCAGTTTAAATAAAGGTTGACTGAATGAAAAATAACTCAATACACTGCTGTTAATGTCTAAACCGCTGGCAACAAAAGTGAATATACCCCTAAGTGAAAATGTTCAAATTTGGCCCAAGGTGTCAATACTTTGTGTGGCCACCATTGTTTTCCAGCACCGCCTTTAACCCTCTTGGGCATGGACTTCACCAGAGCTTCACAGGTTGCCTCTGGTTCCACTCCTCCATGACGGCATCACGGAGCTGGTGGATGTTGGAGACCTTGTGCTCCTCCACCTTCCGTTTGAAGATACCCGACAGATGCTCAGTAGGGTTTAGGTCTGGAGACATAACAGCATCCTGTATCTCCAGTTATCCTTCACTTTAACACTCCTTAACACATATTCAGCACACACCAGCTCATGAAACCATACTTATGCCCAAATTGTTCGAAAATGTGAATCAGAAATGATTTGAGTCAGAAGCTTTCATTCACTCAGGAATAAGTCACCTGATGTTGTAAAATACAGATAAAGACCAAAAGCACATTTATATTGCATTACAGTAATTTAACAATAAGAATTCTCTCTGTGATGTTGTTTATTGGTCAGTTTTTAAAGTATTTAGAGCTGTACAAAGTAACAACAATAAAAAAAATCGTCATTATTAATAAACTGGTTGATAATCAATCCAGTAAAATATCAGAAAATCCAGAATATTGTCCATTGCACTTTCCCAGAACCCTTCAGTACTTTGACATTGTCGGAGCAACGTTCCAAAACATAACTTGCAGTATGTGTAGCTCAGTCTGCCTCTGACCTGATTTGCATGTGAACAGGTTTTTCGCAGGTCAACACCATCATGACTGAAGGCAGAATCCAGCATGAATAAAATCTGAGTACTTACAGAAGACTTTGATGTCTGCCTCCATGACTGTTGCGTTACAGCTGTGACTGTGGTTTT